CGGTTCCCAAGACTGTTTGTATTGTCAGAGGAGCAAGGAGAAGGTAGCGTCAGTGGACAGAAGCGGCTGGATATCCAGCTGAGACTTGAGATGTATGACTCTAGACTGGGAACAGAACTGTTTTGTTGTCGAGGCTACCCTCAGAGTGAAGTGAGTGCCTTAATCGCTGGCCAAGGTAAACCGCTGTCATCGGGCAGGAACTCGTTTCACGGATTGAGAGGGAGCTCGTCCAGGGAACGAACACAGTAGAATTGCTATGTCGCGTACATGTGTCCGGACGGACGGACGGACACGGGCCACTTCACCAACGGCCGTCGGTTGATACGGGCATGTAGCGCCTAACAGAATTAACAACATCGACATGCTGATCAATATATCATGATGCTTTCAGTGGATGGATTAGAAGCTTGAAAAAATGAAAGAGTAATCATATTAGCCAGCCTCAGCCAAGGGGAATGCTGTTTTGCGGATTTTCTTTTGCAAAGGGCAACTCGAATCTAAAGAAACTATTAAAACCCGCTGGAAGACATTCGCTGGACGACACCGGTACATGCGTTCCAGATGTTGCGAGTAAGTGCACAGAAAATGCCACTAACTTGAAAACAAGAAGGCAGCCGACGAGAAGATCCTACTTCTTTGTTTAACTTACTCCAAGGTAGAGCCAAGGTTATGGGTAGATAACAAAAGGGTAGGGAGCGGAAAATTACAGTTTTCCTAGTCAAAAAGGGAAAAACACGAAATTTTCCTATTAGAGACACTTGCAAAGAGCGAAAAATATAGGAAGGGTCCGAAGTATCGAATGGCTTGGGTAAGAAGAAAATGAGTGACTGAGAAGACCATTTTGCGTTGGATGCGCCATGCGCACCTCCGCCGTTTTGAATCGTGCAATCCTTTCAATATATATGAGATCTATACAGTCGAGTAGAAGGTAATATTTCAAACGAATTTTTATCCACTCAGCCAACAATCTCTTCTCAGCCACAGCACCGTTCGATTCTGATCGCATCAGTCATGGGTATGTCAGAAAAGGACCATCAAATTCATAATTAGCTTCGCTTTCATCCGCAAGAATACGTTGCAATAAAGATAAGACCCAAAAAAATAGAATCCCATCATTGCGTATTACTGAGAGCTATCAAAAACAGTAACCAAGTACAAAAGTGGGCCATTTATGTCAACACCCATAAGCCATGGGGGGGGGGGGGGGTGNTTTTTTTAGGTAAATCTACCTAACGGAGTTTTTTTTCAAGTCAGGCCTATAGTACACCAAGGGTTCCCTTTGTAAGCTGCTACACACGAATTAATTCCTGACAACAACACCCCTATTTCCAATGCATTCACGAAGAGAACATTCGTCAGTCTTGCAACAGATGGGAAGGAGGACACTATAGAAAAACTAGTACGATTAGAGTTTAAGTACAAAAAAAAACGTCGTCCACGGAGCAATGGTGGCAATTAAGACAAGGAATTGGAGTGGGACAGAGCATGGCGATCATGTTGGCCCATACCAAGGCTGCAAAGGAATAAGTGGCTTCGTTTGACGTTCGGGCCATCGGGACTGGACGGCAGAGAATAGCAGCATCAATAAGATACCAATGAAACGGTCCACCAGGGAAGGTGATAGAATCAGTTTCTGCCCAAGATGAATAAGAAAAGACAAAAGAAAGAGCCTCTCTAGGACTTGATGAGTTCTTCAAGGTTGCGCCATGCATCATGCATTTATTCGAAAAAACAATGGTTCGGGTCAAAAACAATGTCCTTATCTACCGGAACAGTTCGAGCTTGATCCGGGCGTTTGAAATTTCAAGAGAGAAGATCCCTATGGATCTGAACCAGGACCTGGACCCAGTAGTATAGTGGCGCAGCGACTTAAATCAATGCGCTATGACACTTCCGCCCTTTCATATAAGTACTTCAATAAAACAAGATTCAGGTAAATAGAGAGGGCCGAGCATTAGCGAATGTAATCGGTAATCCCATCAAATTCTTGATGTATAATCAATACACCACCAAACAAACATAACCATCTTACCAACATTATCGACTGCTTGGTCCACCTCAGTATGAAGTTTACTTGCGTCCGAACGAAGGATCCAAATGAACGGAGATACAAATCTTAAAACATTCAAATCTTACCCTTCAATTATTACCACATTCGGATGCCACTGATGGGTTACTCCTGAACGACGGATGGGAATAGGCAGGTAGGTGAACCGGGAAAAATAGGTACTTCTCTATCCGGTTGAAATGCGTCCGTGACTTCTCAAGATCGTCGAGAAAAGAGTTATAGGCACACATAACGACTTGTGAGAGCTAAGCTCAAGCCAATGCTCACCAGTGAACCAATACTGACAATTTGCCTGGGAAAGAGTCAGTTCTACGGACCATTTGAGCCACGAAGAGCCTTTTGCCAATCCACTGGTACCATTTACATATAGAAAATGTCAAAAGAAGAGAATACCCATTTGAGAATATGTCACCTAATCGGGATTTAAAGCAAAAAACTGGGCAGAACAATCTCAAAGAGAATAAGGGCCAAGGAGAAAATCCACCTGGGAAAGCTACTGAAGGCAGAAATGGGTATAAACTTGGACTGGGAGAATTAGCATGGGTAAAGTTCGTATATACCTCTGGGAAACTCTGCAAAACGACAGAAAAAGATCCTATTCTCATATCATATTCACCTTTTCCCTATCCGCTATATTGGAACTCCTGGATTATCGTGGGGATTCCATAACCGCCATTGCAATTCAATTTGCGATATCCATATTTGGAAAGGAAAAACTGTTATGACTAAAGATGCCCGTCACTACTGCAAAGCCTTGCATTCCTCCGAGGCTACTTGAGTTATACAACAATAAAATGAGTTATATGAGGTTCTGGAGGATAATGAAGGCCCTATAAAAACCATAGGCTCGTCGAAGGCAATCTCTAGGCTGAATTTGTAGAATTCTATGGTAAATTGCAAGGGCTGGGGAATGATGAAGACAGCGTGAGTAACTGCTTGAAAAATTATAAAAAGAGTTCTACTCTCATTGAGTTTCGGAGTGGGGATCAAGCTAGCCCTAAGAACGGACATGGGTACGAGTAAGAATCTGGTTGTCGTCATCAAATCGAGATATAAAGTGATCCTGTTTCTCGAGCCTGCTATCTCGCAGCCCACACAACCGTACCCCTATGACCTGTTGCTTACTTTCCATTCGACAACGGAGCTATGTTGACTTAAGAGACTAATGGAGCCGTTCGTAGAACCTTTTTCAGCGAAAAATGACACAAAGCGACTTTTCTAGTGGTTCTAAGCCAATTTCATCATAGCAAGTGTACCACGGGAAGATTCCCTTGACATGAGTCATGGAGTGAGCCCAACAAGGTCCCAAGTCAGGCCTTAAACTAAGCAGGGCTGATCCAACTACGGGATGATTCAGTGGATTGATCAACTGCTAGTTGTCCCACTGCCCCATGCATCATATTTATGCCCCCAATTCCATAAATGTTTGACACTTTTGTAATATCACAGTAATATCACTTCCGTATCGACCACACCCTGGGCCATTCGGCATGGTCGATACAGATTTAATATTACACTGAAGTTCATCCAGAACAGTACCAACCCACAGACCCGGAACCAGTCCGTGGAAAAGGTTGTCAGGGCACTTTCTGTAGAGTGTCCATTATGATAAAGGAAACCCATCTAATTAGCGCTCAAAATGCTCTGAATCACATTATTCCAAGAAAATGTATGGGTTAAGTGGAGTGGTAGTCATTTGAACATTCATTTGGGTTTAATTTCATGGGGACCTGAAGTTCTCTTGAAGTGCACCGTCTATCCAAGCCCCGTTTGCAGGTAGAAGGTAGATGGATATGGACCAGACTCATTCAGTGAGCTGAGATTAGCCCATGTTTGGAATTGATGGCACCTTGATCAACGGTCAGACTGAAGACAATGCTTGGTATCGGATCATCGTGGTCCGCCTTAGCCTGATCGGCCTAGGAAAGGTTCGAATCCGCAGCAATACTACCGGCCTAGACTAAATGTAAGCGAACTCCCCAAATCAGGGCAATTTCAAGAGAAGCTATTAATAGGGAACATAAGAACCATATTCANTGGTCCGCCTTAGCCTGATCGGCCTAGGAAAGTTTCGAATCCGCAGCAATACTACTGGCTTAGACCAATTGTAAGTGAACTCCCGAAACAGGGCATCCCAAAATCAGGGCAATTTCAAGAGAAGCTATTAATAGGGAACATAAGAACCATATTCATGGGAAAATTTCAGTGAGACTTTCACTAAGGAGGTTCTTCAGAACGACAATAGGAGGATGAAAGGAAAAGAAGGCAGTCGCATGTATAGCAATGAGGAAGCCAACAGTGTAGAAATGAAATTAGACACGCCTAGTCCTTGGCGTAAAGGAACAGTGGTCTCGACTGTCGCTAAGCAAACATGGCTGGGAGAGGCGTCAAACTGCTACCGAGGAGAGGGATTGAGGTAGCTGAAACGGCGAGGAGACGATGGACGATAAGTGGAACGGAGGCAAACGAAAGGTACAACGCGAGTGTTGCACGGTAAATGCCAAAGTCTCGATGGAATGCTGATGAGCTGGTATGATAAAAAGCCGTAGTTGCAACAGATGGACTCTACAGAAGGATTTTCTCTCGGCGTTGACGAAGACGGATGTTGCGAGGGTCAAACTGACCATTCTCTCTATGAACACTATGAATCTCGATAAAGTCACGAAATAGGGGTATTACAGTGAAGAAGAGAGACCATACAAAGCTTCGGGAGAGGAGTAGACAGTCCCACAGAATGTGTCGGAAGGTTGCCTATCAAAGCAAAGCAAAGAAGGGAACCGAGGGAACCGTGAGAGACGGCACGCTGCTAGGTTACCGATGAAATGTAATTCTGAAATAAGCCGCTCGGCAATGTCATCGACGACACTCCCAGGAAATTCCCAGGCTTGGGGCGGCGTCTTCGGTACCGATTGATTGACCAAGCAAAGAAGGATCAATATCGAAGTGTCGGGAGCTGCTGATGATGATGGGAGCGGTTGGTTGGCTGGGTTGGTGCAAGAGGAGGAACAACAAAGCCGTCCGGAGAAAGGCGACGAGTCCGCAGAGTGCGCAGAACACCGCGCACAACGAGTGCGAGCACAGTCATCACCTGACCACCATCGTCGTCGTCGCCACAGTCAGCACCAGACTGCTCGAGTAACTCGTCCACAATGGCATAGCATACAACAAGCGTTTCTAGATTCTCCCCAAATTTATGTGGCCGTTGCCATTTGCGATAATGACGTTCCATAGATTGTAACGATCCTACAAAAAACGTCTAACAGGTCGTTTGCACGCACTATGCAGTCATGACATCGGGAACACTAGAGCACCAGGCAGAGTCGCGAAAGGGACCGGGGAAAGAGCTGGATGAGCTGGGATGGATGTAGAGCTTCATGAAAAGGGGCTTCCCATAGGCTGAGGTCTAAAAAAAACGAAGCAATGCATTGAATACCACAGCTGTCAATCAAGTAAAATCCATTGGATAATGAATAATTCAAGGGGGTGGTTAAGTAGGAAATTCATGATCGGCATACAAACAGAAATAATTAAAAGAGCACCACACCCATAACTATATTGTTGGGAGGTTGATTTGTTCGGGACGCTGGACGGGTACTTTCAGCCTCCGAGTCAGACCTGTGCAACATCCTGGGCAAAGGCCGCTCCCAGCGTTGCAAACTGTGCAAGTGCCGATCAGCGACACATCGAGCTCGTGATGAGGGAAGAGCACAACATTCAAAACGTCGGAGA